TTGGGCAGAGGCCCCCAGCAAGTCGAATGCCCGCCCTAAGTGAAGGCGGGCCTGAATATTCATCAGAGGCCAAAATTCGACATTTTCATATGTGGGTACTCAGGCTGTTGCAGCCCGCCAGTTGGTTGAGTGGATGCGTGAGCCTCGCTAAGCTGCGTCATACAGTTGGCCCAGGCCTTGGCAGTGGCGCCTGGGCACATACACACAATGCAGGGCCGATACATCACGAAGTGGCTGCAGGCCTATGCAAAAGCATCTCTGTCGACGTACATACCCCGGGGTCTTGTGCAAATGCAGGAAACGACCCAAGGCTGGAGACTCAGGCCATGCCCAACTGTAAAGGGCCTTGGGCCCGGGCGCAGGCACTGGGGCCCAACCGGAAGCTACTGGAAGCTTCCAGCCAGGCCACACGCAGCCACGCAGAGGCTGCCACTTCCATATAGGAAGGAGGGCAGCCAGGGCAGGATATTCTGGCCCACGCAGGCAATGCGGTCACGCTGCTGCGTTAGAGGCTGTGTGCTGCGCTGAGGCCAGAGCGTGTGCGGGCGCGTGTGTGGTGGAGAGGGGCGCTGCTGAGCAGCGGAGCGCAAGCAGCCATAGCCGGGCTGCAGGGCGCTAGGGGGTAGGAGGGCGATCGATGGTCTTCAGGAAGGAGGCGAGTGTGGGTGGACAGGGTCTGATGAGGGGAAGTGAGATAAGTACCTGGTACATGGAAGAGGTCGGCTATGGTGTTGACGTCATGTACATCGGTCTTCGAGAGTCGAAGTGAACCTGTTGCGAGAATGCTGATGTAGGTAGGATAGTCAGGCAGTGTAGGCTGGGTGCTGGGCGGCGGGCGCCAGACATACAGGAGCGACTTTGGATACTGTGTTGGTGTGGCCTGAGGGCTTGAGCATTGGGTCATTACTTAATTGTATTGCTCTTATTTGGATGGGATCTCTGTGCATTTGTGCTTTCTGCTTGTACACGACTACCTGGCCATCTGTGTGATTTCGCAACTTGGTTTTCTGTATATCATTCACACTCATGTTCCTTGCAATATACCCCCATATTTCAAAATTCAAAAAGATTTCTCCTGCGCGATGATCGCGCCAAAGTAACTGTAACAGTTCCCTTCCCCACTTTTAGCAGAACAAGAAAGAAGCTCTGACAACAATTATTTCTGCGCTCACTAAGGCACGATCAATTACCAACCGCCATGGGAGCAAGCCTTTTTGAAAAAAAAAGAGACGGGGACATTCATGCAATTGGGCGGGCCACTCCCGATCAACCCCCCAAACACCGTCGCGCAGAGAGTCGCGGGGTTACAGAAAGCAGATCATCACAGTACCTCGTCACCTCCTTCTCCAAATGCGTTCCCAACTTCTGCAACAGACGGTCCGACTCGAAGGTCGACCTCCGCATCCGCAAAAGACCAAGGGTATGATCATTCTGCGCATCATCTCTAGGACGGAGATCATTCCATAAACCGGGTGTTCACCGCATTACCCACCACCTCGGCAAAGCTCTCGGGAAGAGATTTAGGTCATCGACAATGGTGGGCAAGAGCCAAAGTAGACTACGGCCCCTAGGACCGTCATGGACTTCATCTTCATGACCCACAGCCTGGTTGACATCGGCAAATGGCAGCAAACAGTTAGGACGACGACTCTGGAAACCCATTAACAAATCCAGGATGTCGAAGGCATCCTCCGCCATCCTCCATGTGACTGCCATGGCAGCCACCGTGACTTGCTCCCGCTCCCTCCTACGCAAGCGGGTCATTATGGTGACTACAAGATGGGACACACAAGTCCCAATCTTTGCTGTGTTTATGCACAGCAAAGAGCCCCTGGCATCGATGACGCAAATAGGGGCCACAATCGGGGAATTAGTGGGGGGGGGGGGGGGATGGGGGGATGGCGCCGGGGGCACCGCTGAGTCGAGAAAGGACTGGACTTGAAGTGGGTCTCTCCAACCACAGTCACAAAGACAGGTTCCGACTGCCAAAGCCGCGATGGGAGCACGGGCCAGCCTGTGGAACTCCCACGGCCGCATCGAACAGCTAAAAAGGGGAAGACTATGTTCTGTCTCTTATACACATCTAGATGTGTATAAGAGACAGCACAAAGACAGGTTCCGACTGCCAAAGCCGCGATGGGAGCACGGGCCAGCCTGTGGAACTCCCACGGCCGCATCGAACAGCTAAAAAGGGGAAGACTATGTTTTCACTCATTTCTGAGAACGGTTTTTCAGATTCGCCTGCCTGCATTACCGGCCACATGCATTACGTAGAGGTCCGTTCCTTGACTCCTTTCAGGGAGCGACCAGCGCGAACCACTGGCCTCGTACGGATCCCAACATACTGGAATGAAGGCCGGTATATTCTCGCCGCAATGTCAGAGGCGTATCCTTTTGTTTATTTTTTCACAATAGATACAAAAGAAAATTGTCCAAGAAAACATATTTTTTCTCATTTCCCGATTTATCCACCAATGAAACGGCCTCACACAAGTAGCAAAACTTCACTGGTGGGACCTAGCCCCTGAATCTCTGTGTAAAACAAGTCAAAGAAAAAAAAGAAAAAAGATTCCGACGGTTTATCCAATCCTCTTTGTCAAGTGGGACCTCGCCCCTGCATTTGCAATATTATAGGCCGAAAGTTCCCATAAGAAAATATTATTTAATCTGAAAACCCGTGGGCAGGTCACTCTACAGGCTTACCCCGAATACAACGTACGGTCTTTCAGTCTACATACAGCTAGCACTTCGTATTCGGGGGAAGACGGCAGCCTGGATTCGGCATTGTAGACTCAACGTCAGTGGCTAGAAACACAACCTGGCAAGTGGGACTTTCCGTGGGTAGTTTCACCACATAAGATCTTGAGATTTTATTTTATTTTTGGACCACGGATCAGATATTAAACCGATCAGGACAGATCTTGACAGCATAAGGAAGTTTATGTCGAGTTGTTTTAAGGTAGTCATCAAGAAATTTGTTTCCATAAGGCTAAGGCTGCCAGGATAACTCCGGGTTGAATTGTGAGGTCCCCGGCCTCGACTCACGTGTTTTTGGAATAAATGTTGTGCGGGTTGAAAAAAAAATTAAAAAAAATAAATAAGAACAGATCTTGCGCCGTGCTGCCAGAAATAATGTTTCATCAACTTTCTTGAGATATGCTTTTTTCTTTTCCTTTTTCTGTTTTCTTGAAGCTTCACTGCAGGCTAACCACTTACTGGGAAGGATATTCGGGTACTCCCGAGCGGATGAAGGAAGGGGGGATTTCATTACATGCCATGTGGTGTGGACACATGCACATAATCGACGTTATGCCTGCTCCTGGTGGACTCATATTATGATACTTTCTTCGAAAGAAAAATAAGAAAACGAATGAAAACGTATTATGATATACCATTATAGCTAGCTGTGGTAGGCCATTATGATAGAAAAATATCAAAATAAAAAAATAAAAAATAATAAAAAATGATAGAAGATCAAGATGGAAAGCATGGACGTTCCTGCTGCACTACTTCACTAGCCTAATGGCTCTCAATTTCAAATTTGGAAACGACACCTTGCCTTTTTTCTTTCTTTCTTTCTTTCTTTCTTTCCTTCTTTCTTTCTTTCTTTTTTTTTTTTTTTTTTTTTTTTTTTTTTTTTTTTTTTCAAAAGGGGGGGGTTGGGGGTGGGGTTGGGACACTAGCAGCTGTCCACTTTGACCTCCACTGGTAACACTGCGGCGAAACAAAACATATCCATATCTGAGTGCAGTCTATGAATGCTGCATCCCTGCTGGGGATGTGAAAGCTGAGTGTCATGCAACGGTTCCTCCCTTTCACCACCACAAGTTTGACAGGCTGCTAAAAAAAAAAGACGTCAAGACCCTCCTTGAAAATCCTCAGGAATGTCGAAAGTTATGGTTACACTGCGTTCTAAAAAACAAAAATCCTTGAAAAAATGTGAAAACGCTCCCAAGAGATTTCCTTGGGTCCCTCGGAATCCCCAGCCATTGCGTCCTTGGATTCAAGGGGTCCTCGAGAGGTCCCTTGGGCTCAAGGATCCGCGATAGACGGGCTGTCATTGAGCGTGCGTCGACACGGAAAGTTTCTGTTTTTGCTGGTGCACATGACGTCCGTGGTCCATCGGGCGGACAATATCGGCTTCCAACCGGCGCGAGGTCACCAACGGCCTTGTGGTGTTACCGTTCGCGTGTACACGGCCGGGGGTCCCGCTTCGGGTGCGACAGACGTCGGAGCGGTGGGGTTCTCCTTCTGCGCTTCGTCGGGCGTCGTGTCCAACGGTCGAATATTTCGAAATTTGTTTTATGTGCGGGGTGTGATGTTGTTGCCGGCCGGCCCGTTTGCTGCCATTCGCGTGCGCGCGTGAGGGTTGTCCGTTCGGTGGTCATCTACACGTGGTGCGTTTCATGGCAGACATCTTCCGGCGGCTACCGCTCCTGTTACTAGCAACTCTTCTGCTGCTTCTTCCCGTCTTTTTGCGCGCCTTCGTCGTGCCGAGGCCTCCTAGGCGTAGACAGAGACAACAAGTGGATAGGAAGACGGCGATGGACAGACGGGACAGCTCCGTCGGACAGCAAAGACGTGTGATGGATGTCTCCATTCCTGATCGGCCCCTGTCCGGCCATCGACCCGCTGCATATGACCCGTCCTTGTACAGTCATCTTCCACCGCACGAGCAGCCGTTGCCGCCGGATCCGGAGGACGCCTAGGTTGAGGATCTGTCGCACACACTTCCTCTGGGGAGTGGATCTACGCAGGAGTGGACGAGCAGGCAGTGCCAGCAGAGGGAAGTAGGGACCACGCGCGAGTCATTCACCGCATTGCTGGAGGAGGGTGTCGACAACGCCGCCACGAAGCTTGTGGACTTGGATTTCAGGTTGTGCAGCGGGAGCGGTGCAAGTGGTCCGATCCACAGCGGGGGGGTGGTGGGAGCGCCAACGTTCGGAGGAGGATCGTCCCGTGTCGGTGGGCCGACGAATGGGTGTCGTCCACCGGTCTCGAGTTCCATGGGCGCCTGGCCACTTGGCGAGTCATCAAGGGCAGTGACCCCCACCCGCCCCTCGGTGTCTTCGCCTGCAATGCGGCAGAGGGCGACCGCAAGTGCTGCAATCAATGATGGGACTCCACCGGAAGACATCGGGAGGCAGGCGTGGGAGAACTGTCGCCTACAGATGCGGCGTGCTGCCGCGGAGAACATAACCACCGGTGTGTCCAGGCTGCGTGTGGGGAGCGACGTGGATGCGGACGACAGCCTTCGGGCGAGTGGGGACGAGTCTCCGGATTCCCGTTACGAAGACGACGCGGAAGACGGTGAGGGGCTGGAGATCCGGCCCGTGGCTGCACGTGGTGGGCGGAGGGGAGGACGTGGACGTCAGCAGAGGGGCGAGTCGCGTGGTGGCCGAGGATCGAAGGCTCCTGTGGGTGACAGGGGTGGCAAGCACCCAGCTTGGAGTGTGGAGGAGATGCTGAAGCTCGCTCGAGCGAAGCGGGATCAGCAAGCTCATTTCGAGGGAATGCCGCATAACTACGGCCGCATGCGCAACAGGGAGTGGAAGCTGCTGGACCTACAGAAGCGGCTGGCGGAGGTCGGGGTGAACAGGGCAACGAACGACATCGGGAAGAAGTGGGATAACGTCTTCCAGCAGTACAAGAAGGTGCAGTGTTACCAGAACATGTCCGGTGGGAAGAACTTCTTCGCATTAACTCGTGCAACGAGAGAGGACGAGGGCTTCAACTTCCGAATGGATGAGCGAGTCTTCAATGGGATCGACAACATGTCAAAAAATAACAAGACCATCTACCCGGACAATGTGGCAGACACGAGCGCCCGCGGAGGAGTGCCGCCAGCAATGGATGGTCACCGTCAGGCCGCCGTTGGTGGAGAGTCCTCTGCTGGTGGAGAGCGGGGTGATGGCGTCGACGAAGATGTAGGTTCAGCGAGGGAGTCGGGGTTCAGTCCAGGGAGCACGGGCACTCCAGCGAAGAAGAAGAACATGCGGCAGCAGACCTTCGACGCCATCGCCGAAGTTATGGACAAACACGGTGCATTGATGGCGGACACGATAGAGGGTGCGAGCAAACGACAATGTAGCATCCTGGAGCGGCAGTGTGACATACTGGGAAGGCATTACACGGCGTCCGATGAGGCAAACAGGATGATGTGCACGGCATTGATGGAGATTGCCGGAGCGATAAGGGACAGATCTTGACGTCGGTGGCGTGAGGTTTGTTAAGCCGTTGTGGGGGATTCGCCCGCGAACTGGCCCGTGGCGAAATGTGGTGCCGCTCCTCCGACAACGACAGAAATCCAGGAAACAAGGCGGGGGATGGTGTGCGCGATGGTAGTCTACCCTCGTGCGCTGCGAAATGTTGAGTCGCAGGCCCTCCAAGAAAGGGCCATCCATTCCCTGGACCGCACTGTCCCTTGGTATTTGGGGTGGTCTGCCCACATGCGGAATGGGTGATCGTCGCTGTTGTCGCGTGGAGGGGTGTGCTGGAGGCCGTTTGGGCAGGGTCCGCACGCCGAGGGAGGGGAAATGTCACCGCGAGCACTATAAAGGTCGGCGTGAGTGCTATCTTGTCCATGTCTTTTGGTTCTCGACTGCAAGCAAGGCCACGCGTGGGGGTTCCGTTGTGCTGCGCAGGGAGCTGAACATCGCCCACACAAGACGATCCCTGGCGACTTCCTCTCAAGCGCTGTGGCAGTCCGCTTTCGTTCATGAGGTGTGCGCATCCGCTCGTCAACGAATGGCGCCACGTGGCCAGCAGAAGGCGAAACGTCCACACGGTGGTTCCGGCAAAGCAGGTGCAGGGCAGACAGGAAGGGGCCACGTCCCAAAGTCGAAGAAGCTCCGCGCGGGAGACGGGTTGGAAGGCGAGATGGGGGGTGACGGAAGAGAGGAGGTGACGCCTATGGACATCACTTCTGCAGGGACGCCTGCGCTCGGGTTTGGGCGAGAAGGTGTGAGCAGGCAGCGTATGCTTGCGCTCACCAACCTTGGCGTCCTCACGTCCACACGCGGTGGCGGTGGAGGGACGGCTCGTGCGCAAGGAGTTCTGTCCGGTGACATTCCGCCGCAGAGGGCCGTGGCTTCTGCATCTACCATCGCATCCGTGTCCGAGCGCGGCGATAAGGCTCCGGTCGGTGAGTCTCCATCGCGCCACGTGGAGGCGTCGAACCCAACGATCATCGGCGCTTCGCCGAGGGCTGTGCTTCAATCCTCGCAAGCAGCGAGCGCTGCTGGCCATGCCGCCGCCCTCGGTAGTGGAGAAAGGCGAGAAGATCGGAGGGTGGAAGAGGCGGGGAGAAAACAGGAGAGGAGGGAGGAGAGTCTGCGTGGGGAAGAAGAGGACGACCAGCCTCTGAGCGAGAGGAAGAAAAGGTCCCGCCAAAAGGAGGAGTTGGAGGCGAAATCGAAGCTGTGGGTAGACGACAAAGTGTTCGGGGCAACTGGCCCCGGACAGATGATCGCGGACGCAGTGCATTCCTGCGCGGACTACTTTTGCGCGATCGTCAATGGAGATGCAGGCGCCAGCGCTTTGCAAGGCCTCATGATGCCGCCCCCCGAAGTCTCGCGCGTGCGAATCGAAGATGGCGCGCAACAAGAGCCAGCTCTCAAACGGGCGAGACGAACGGAAAACGTGGCAATGCACGTCATCCACGGGTGGGTATTCAGGTCCTCTTCAGGGTCCGATGGTTTTGCCCGCGCGGAGTCCTACGTCGCCACAGATTACCCCACCAACCTGGCGAGAGCAGTTTGGCAGAGCTTGGAGTGGTTGAGGATAGTGCCGCCCGACGTAGTTTACCACACGGTCGCTTTGAAGATGGACATCCCAGTGTGGTTCGTCAGGGCATATATCGAGAACAGGCCGGAGGACAATGACATGGCCGCACACCAGGAGGTGACTGTGATGCATCTTGCGTCATGCTTCCACGACGCGCTCCGAGCCGGGCAGTGGTGGGACGGCGGTAGATTGTCACACCAGAGACTGAGCAGAATCGGGGATGCTTTCCGCCTGCTTCTCGCCGCGTGCATGTGGGTCATGCGCATGGGAGGCGACGATGCGCGCTCCTACGAGGAGGCGTCTTACTACGCGCAGCTGGTGGCGAAGCCTACTCTCGTGGCGGCGTGTTCATCGTCCTTCAACTGACGCCGCCATGTGATGCACTCGGTGAACGCGGTCTTGAGTCGCCTGCGGAAGCCACCGTTGACGCTGGGCGCTTTCCCTGACTACATCCCGGAGTGCGGTACAACTGCAACGCTGGTCTGGCGAACCCCGACGTCGCGGCGAGAGTGGACTGGATGGGGACGGGACCTTTTGAAGGTGATCGGAAGGAGGACGGTACAGAAGGCGAAAAGGGAGCGTAAGTGTCCTCGATATGGCCGTCTTGCGTGACAAGGAAGAAGGTATCGCCCGTGGAGTGAAGTGGTCCGTCATTAAGGTTTGGACATGGCGGGAAATGGAAGTGCCGGATCAGCGGGGGGTGGATTGGACAGTGGGGGGGGGGGGGGGGGGGGGGGGGGGGGGGGGGGGGGGGGGGGGGGGGGGGGGGGGGGGGGGGGGGGGGGGGGGGGGGATGATGGCGACGAGCGCAGATGGTTAACATGCAGTGACGCGTTTCACCACGCGAGGGCCCCTTCGTAGATTGTGTTCCCGTTTCGCCCCGCCGCACGCGCGCAGTGTGTCTCGTCACCCGGCGGCGCTTGGTAGCTGTTAACCGGCCTCCGAGAGAGGTCGGCTTTGTAGGGTATTTGAAGGTGCATTGTGAAGTCAATGCGATGGTTGGTCTGCGCCAGGAATGACGAGCGACACCTTTTATTACTCTTTTTTGAAAACGACAGTCCGATTTCAATAGGGTTTTGCGAGTGTGTTCATTGGACGGAGTCTAGCAATGGAACGGTGTGTCCCGTTGGAATATGACGATGCGTTTCCTCATATCTCTCTTTCTCGTGATTGGTGTGAATGTCGTTTTCTTCGTGCTGATTGGTTTATTGTTTGGAACGGTCATTGTTTGGCAATGTGATGCCAAGTATGATCATCTGCGAGTGTGTTAATTGGACGGAGTCCAGCAACGGAACGTTGTGTCCCGTTGGAATATGACGATGCGTTTCCTCAAATCACACTTTCTTCTGTTTGGTGTGAATGTCCTTTTCTTCGTGCTGATTCGTTGATTGTTTGGAACGGTCGTTGGTTGCCAATGTGATGATAAGTACCTCAGTGCACCTCAGTACGGACAGCTTTGCCGGCAAGCCGATGAACTGATCCAATGATCGGTTGATCAGTTGGCCGCCAGACTTGTCCAAGTTAGGGTGTGATGCTCCGCGAAGTCGGGCATTGGTGGTGGACTGGGTTCCGGTGTGTTGATGAAAGCGCACCGAAAACTGCACAAAAAAACGCATTCACGCTTCAGTCCTGTTAAGGAGGCAACACATCAATGAAAGGCGCACACATCGCCCCTAACATACAAACCGCAACACGCAAAATAAAAAATAAAAATAAAAGACAATAGAACGAAAAAAAGCGAAAGATAAAAAAAAGGCATTTGGATTGGAATCACATACACGAAACCACACCATCGTCCCAGAGCACCGATAACCGCACACACGCAGCCGGAACTTCGCTCTACGGTACACATTTGAAAAAAGGAGAACAATAACGAGTCACCTCCGGACAGATCACCCCACTGACAAACACCGTCTTCTTCGAAATCGAAATCGCGCAGCTGCGCGCACTCACTCACAACAAACTGAATCACCGGGCGTTAACAACCTACTACAAAATGGTTAACAAAAAAAAAGGAAAAGAACTGCAGATGGACAGCGTCTCTGCCGACGGCTCAACGACATTAGCGATCAACGACAACCCGCAGTGAACGTACACAACACCCCAGGGCACGGCACACGCCTGCGACAGCGACAAAACACAGAACGCCTCCGTTGGACGATGACCCCAGCACGTTCTCCACAAGGACGGCAGAGCCACGTGCCGTCGACGAGGTGCGCGCCTTCACGCGTGTTTCATCCGCTCCGCCAACGCCTCGCATAGCGCCAACGCACGGGGCCGATTGAAGTTCTCAGCAATGGGGTGGGGTGGATGATCCAACCCCAAGTCCACTCGCCGGCGTACGCCATTAGCATCCACCGTCGAACTCAATGCCAGCGTCAAGGAGGATGTTGAGCAGAATGCACATGGCCTGGAACTGTTGTGGGAGAGTGTCCATATTCGTCTTGTGTGTGCGGAGGAACAGCCTCCACATCCCTTTCAATCTCCCGAAAGCTCTCTCCACTGCTCCCCTGGCGACCTTTTGCTTGTTGTCGAACCTCTCCTCGTCGGGGATTTGATCGGTCCCCCCGTACGGCACGACAATCCACTCCAGCGGCGGATACCTGTTGTCGCCCAGAATGTAACCGTGTGTCCTCACTCCGAACGGCAGCACAACAGGAGCTCCACGGAAAAGATCCCCCTCCTCCGCACGCGCCCACAGACTGGAGAGCTGAAGCACCCGAATGTCATGGCAACTCCCCGGGTAACCGACGAAAATGTCCGTGATGCGCAAGTCCAGGTCCACCACCACCTGCGCTACAACGGAGAAACGATGCTTCAGGTCGAAGTAGTTCTCCGAAGGAGCGTTCGCCGGTTTGTCGACGTAAACGTGCGTGCAGTCTATGCAGCCACAGCAGTTGGGAAAGCCCTTCGCCTCGAAGGAACGCAGAACGAGCGTACGACGCATCCCAGTAGGCCAAATGATCTTGTCACTGTACACCCTCAGGAGCGCCCTCGTAACGTCCTCCACTGCGATCAACCCGGATGCGCGCCCTATTCCGAATGCCGACGTGCTGCTCTCGTACGTCTCCCCGCTCGCCCATCGGTACAACGCATATGCGATGATGTGATCCGGCTGCAAAGGAATCCTATAGAATGTCACCCGCCGCTGCAGAAGAGGGGACAACGCCTCCACGATCTCCATGAACACCCTGGGGGACATCCTCAACTTTTCCTTGTAGTACTCGTCTGAGGCGTCGTCCATCTTCCGCAGATCCTCCCACGTGCCACCCATCCTTCTCCTCATCCACCACCTTGTCGCCCGCGGTATCACCCCAGATGACATGGTGGCGCACAACTGGATAATGGATTCGGACATGGACACGCAGTCTGGCGCCGCCATCACGTGCTGGAGGAGCTCACGCTGCCTGCGAATAGACACTCTCGTTCTCAACCGCGCCGTCGTTCTCTCGATGCGACATCGCATGGCCACCGCCGACACTGCTGCAACCACCGCATTTCTCTCCACCCTGCTCAAGGTCTTGCCACAAACCTCCTGCGACACGTGTTCCATCACGATGCTCCGACGGCGCCTTGTTGAACACGCACAACAGACGGACGACTGGACCCTCGTCGCACAATGTCCCAGCGGACGTTGGAGTGGTCGAGGGCAGCTCCTCGTACACGTATCACGGGCGCACGAAGCTATGGAGAGCCACCGGATCGTCGTCGTCTGCAGGAAGAGGAAAGTGGGACACGCACCACTTCACGCGCTCCAACGCCGATACCTTTTGCGCCGCGCTGGCTGACGATCGGATGAACGAGTCGCCAACAGCGATGGGCGCCGCAAATCGTCCGAGCACACGTTTCGCACACTGGTAGCTCCGGGGGTGGTAACGCCACGGCGCGCCGGTGCGTATGTAATGACGGTTTGAAATTCGAATTTCGAAAAGGAACCTTCGCGCCTCTTTTGGCAGCGCAGCATCGCAGGCCTCCTTGCGCCGCCAGTGGACCACGCCTGATGGTGGACGGACATCCCTCGACGACGACGGACATCCTCCCCCGCGGCCTCGTATATGCGTATGAAATTGGCCGCGGGATACCTCCAAGGTTTTTCCTTGGGACCTTTTCTTTTAGGACGCGGTGTAACGACGCCGCTGAATTCCATGAAATTTTCCAAGGACTTCGTCCTAATTCCTGAGGATTTTTCAAGGAGGGTCTAACGAGGCCCTAACCACTTACTGGGGAGGATATTCGGGTACTCCCGAGCGGATGAAGGAAGGGGGGATTTCATTACATGCCATGTGGTGTGGATACATGCACATAATCGACGTTATGCCTGCTCCTGGTGGACTCATATTATGATACTTTCTTCGAAAGAAAAATAAGAATTTAAAACGAATGAAAACGTATTATGATATACTATTATAGCTAGCTGTGGTAGGCCATTATGATAGAAAAAGATCAAAAAAATAATAATAATAATAATAAAAAATGATAGAAGATCAAGATGGAAAGCATGGACGTTCCTGCTGCACTACTTCACTAGCCTAACGGCTCTCAATTTCAAATTTGGAAACGACACCTTGCCTTTTTTTCTTTCTTTCTTTCTTTCTTTCTTTCTTTCTTT